ATAATACAAGTGATATATATATAAAACATAATTTAGGTAGATATTTATAGAATTATTTTCAAATTACCTAAAGGATAAATATTTTTAAATGCAGCTGTAGTAGCTGCACCAGTATTTTTATTGACATCTTAATTGTTGTAAAAACATCTATTTTCATATAATTATCATTAACCTACCAACAATAACCTTCTGCATGTTTAGAGTGGCTACAGAGCTTGTTATTACAGACTGCTTTGAATACTTTTCATTTAGTATGCTGTGTTTTTAACACAAATGTAATCCACTCTGCATTTCCCATTTAAAATGCATAAGGCAAAGTGCATCATAACAGGATGTAACTACGTATTAATCAAATTAGCACAACACTTCAAAGGCTTGGGCTTTTTGCTGGGGTACTGTTAGATCACAATTCATGAAGGAAAGAAGCAGCATAATGAACAGCTTGGCAAGGGAGCAGTTCATTTTCTTTCCAGAAAGATACAGAGTGGGTTAATTTTCATGATGGGGAAGCATGTCGAGAAAGGGTAACAGTAAGCATTAAACTAAAGGACAATAAGTGAAATTTAGAATACCGTGGTGGTTTTGCCACTGATAAAACATAAATTCTGTAATTATTTGATACCACAACAGAATTCCAATGACCTATTGTTAAATTATTAAGATCCTAGAAATACAACCTAGTGTAGTCAATATTAATATTCAGAACCTGGCAGATTCCAATTCTTTGTCATTATGAACAGTGAGCCATGTAGCAATGGAAAATATGAAATACCACATCTAAATACAGAACCTAGTGTACCAGAAAACATACCATGTAATATGATATAGTTGTAATTAATTATTGATCTCTCAATCAATGTTTGCTGAGTCCTAAATATTGTGCACTATGGTGCACCCACATGCAAAAATCTTGATGGAAATTAGCTAGGAAAAATGGTAAAGAAGAAATTAGATGACCAAATAATTAAGTCAGTTATTTTGTTAAGCATTCGCTGATTATTATTTGATGTCTGTCACATGCAAACTTCTTCTTCATTGTTACTGCCAAATAAGATACAACTAATTTCCTTTGAGTCTAATTTTCTTTTTTTCTTGTCAAAGGAAGTAGAATGACAGGCACACAGAGAGATTCTCTCCTCTACTTGTTTACTTTTTTCCTAAACAGCAGTACAAGTTATTTAAATGGTAGGCTCCATTTTCTTTCCTACTATACGATCAGTCTTGTAGCTGACTTGAGGCAAGAGATAAAACAGTTTTCAAAACCAGAACTAGAGTAAAGTAGCCTTTATCTGTGAGTAGTTACAAGTGTGTGATGCTTTATACAAAGGCTATGTAATCTTCTCATAGTAAGGAGGAAAGGTAAAAGAATGTACTGGAAACTGGGCAAAGAAGAGAAATAAGAAAGAGCAAAAAAAAAAAAAAAGAGAAAGGAGAGGTAGGTAGAGGAGAAGTAATAAAGACATCAAAGAATAAATTGGTGAGGGCAGTAGTAGAACATACAGGCCAAGGAGAGACATGCAGGCCCCATCACAGGGCAGGCAGGGGTCTATCTGGTCACTCATCTTCCTGGTGTACATAGCAACCGTGATGGAGGTGGAAGTGATGGACTAGAGAAGCACTGAGGAGTTTAGCATCAGAACTTCTGTGATCCTCTGGTTTTTATGACTAAGAAATGTTGCTGCCACCTGTTTCTACAAGTATCCAGAATATTTTTTTCATTTTTCCTTTTATAAATCAAGATAATTTCTATTTAAAAGGGGATGGGAGGTTGTTGCCATGCATAACTAAAACCAACCTTTGTCCAGTAAAGGAATCCTTGAAATTCAGGAGCATTCATATTGTTAAATGCTACCATATATTTTGGGGTATTGTTATCTTTCTTTTTTTTTAAGAGTGAGTTTCACATTAATCAATGTGTCTACCTTCACAATATGCATATTTTGGGCAGAGATTTAGGGAAGGGGCCGTAAAAGCAGCCCTGTGTGTTTTATGAGCTTATCAGCATCCTTGGTGTCTATCTACTAGATGCTACTGTCACCACACCCAGTTGTGAAAATAGTTCCACCTGTTGCTAAATGTCCCCAGAGAACAAAATTTATATCTGTTTGAGAAACACTGGGTTAAACCAAGGTAGATCATATAGTCAGAACTTTCAAAGAGCAAAAACAAAGTAAATGAGATACTTTTTGTATTGCATAGTACATGTCACCAATTAAAACATATCCAGGTGAAAAGATAAAATATGTAAAGACCCAATTCATTTTTAAAACTCCTCAACACTTAAGAATACCTAAAGCTTCATAATTCCAAGGTGACAGTAAATTTGAGTTTTAAATAATATTCCAAGACTGAAAGAAGTACAAACATGAAATGAGAGGTGGGGGGAAGAGGAAGAGGAGGGAAGGGGAGAGAGGATGGAGAAGAAGAAGGCGAGGAGGAGGGGGAGGAGGAAAGAGAGAGGAAGGAGAAGAGGGAGAGGAGAAGGAAGAATAAGAAGAGTGAAAGGAGGAGGAGGAGAAAACGAGATGCTCCTTCAAGTTCAAAGTCTACATAATTTGCATATGTAACACGTTTTGAAAGAGCTCGTATATATTTCATAAACACTTCATGAAAACTTCCCCAGAGAGACTAAAAGTTATAGTTAGGTCATTTTATACCCACATCATTCACTGATTAGAATCCCAGTACAGCAGGAATCAATATGGCCCTTGGATTCATGCCTGAAGTCCTTTTTCCTCAGAACTATGCTGAAGGATAGACTTAAGTGATAGGGCCTTAGGGTGAAGGGCTATTCTGGGAATGATTTTGGTGAAGACCTTGGTTGTTGTACACACTAGACCTGTCTTGCCACACAAGACCATCATGACAGCTCATCCCTAGAAGAGGGTCTCACACCCTCAGTATGTAGCACATCACCTAGAAGGTGAGTTAAAATAGATGTCTGGGTGGCCCCCCCAGCCCCACCAGTGTTTCTGACTGGGGAGATCCAGTACAGTCTGTAAACATGCATTTCTCAGTTCCCAGATGACACTTATGATGTTAGCTCATGCAGGTTAGTCCAAGGCCCATATGTTGGGAATATCTGTCATTTGTGTTTCTCCAGATTAAGCCCGCACCAAATGATTATGATTCCATATATATGCGTTTTATATATATATATATATATATATATATATACACACACACACACACATATATACATATATACACACATATATATGTATATATGTGTGTGTGTATATATATATATATATATAATTTGTTTCTACTCAGGTCCTTCCACGTGCTTATATGTTGCCTTTAAGTATTTCACTAATTTTTTATGATAAAAGCTTTATGGTCTCCTATAGAGTATTTGCTCTGCCTTTCACTTATCACATAATGCTGAGTACACAAGAGATTCCTAATAAATGACTCCTGAATAGAGAATGAATGGAGACAATGTAAAGTGTAAAGTTACAGTATGTTTTATCCTTTTGATTTTTTCTTCATCAAAAGTAGCTACGTTTTAGCTTGGCCTAATACCAACTCCATTTTCTTCCTACTTTAAATCTTTTTTTTTTTGTATTCTGCATATAGACTTCATTTAGGAAGAACAGAAACACATATTATGGCTTACATACTTCAACATGAAAAGCATATAAAAGGACTTTATAGCTATACTTCTATTTTCATTATCTAAGTGTATTAGTAAAAGCAAACCTATTACATCTTCCTTTTGGGAAGCCAAAAAGATCTGGAATTTATGTTATGAGAAAGAGCTTTGACAGACTTTATTTGACAGGCACATCAACTGCAGAGAAAAAAATCACTAGAGAAAATGTTAAACTAAGTTATGATGCTGTCCTGCCA